GATCACGGGGCAGAGAGAGAGGGGCTTGGGGTTGCCTGTGTGTGACCAGCATGAATGTCTAAGTGGAATGTGGATTAAAGTCTTTGGCCCTGACGGCTGTAAACAAAGCCTTCCTTCCTTCAGAAAACAAAAGAGAATGGGTGTATTTTAAAGCCAGTTGGCTTTGAACGCGAGAAAGGGGACTGCTCTGTCCCCCCCCCCTCCGTTCCTGCAGCAGTTGCAACCAACTCAGCGAGCTAGGCTGCATGTTGATCTTGTGCCAGTCTTTCCTAATCGGCTCCCAGAGACTTCGGGTTACTTATCAACTTTCCAAGATTGACAGGTTATGTAGTCTGTAATTTTAAATTACGAAACAAGGGGATGGGAAGGAGGGGGGGGAAGCAAGACCTGTGGTGGGTAAATGGTAGAGGTAGAGACACTGAGGGAAGAAAAGTCTTCTTTAAACCTTTCTTGTGAGAATTTGGCCTGGATCCCATGTTCTCTCCAACCATGAGATCTAGAAACTTGCTCTGTCTTGATTTATAATCAAGTGCCTGAAGAAACACTGGAATAAATCTGTCTACAAAATGAGATCATGGCACAAAATATGTGCTGCTGTATCTTTCCTTCTGTTCTGCCTTATTGCTGGAAGGCCTTTTCTCCCTGCCAAAATTATCAATAATAATAATAATAATAATAATAATAATAATAATAATAATAATAATAATAATAATAATAATAATAATAATAATAAATGTGCTATACCCACTGATCTATGCCAGCTTGCTTACTAGTAACCTTGTCAGAGGCAAAGTGAGTACAGGAGAGAGGACTTAACATTATCAAGGGTTTTCAGAAAATGTCTTAGCCCATGTGCTCTTCTCCTAGAGGTGCATATATGTTTACATGTATGCATGGGCATTCCCCAATTGTTCAGAATGTATTGATATAATTTTTTAATCCCCCAAAGACTGATGGTGGTAGGTGGGTTTTGGCCATTGTTACTGTGTCTTCAAGTGTATCAGCTGGATAGTTTATAGAAGAAAACTCACATGCACAATGTAAGGCTTACACGTTGGGACACTGGCTTGTGTACTCAAGCGTAAACACATATGCTTCCTGGTCCTGTTTATTACTCTAGCTTTGAAAATCCAGCAGAGCAGCCAGATGCAAAAGGGAACAAAACTCCTGCATCTTGTGTAGACAAGGGAATTGCAGCTGGTTAAGCTGGCATGACAGGTCACACTGTTGAAATTCTCTTTTTAAAAGCAGAAGAAGCCTATCTTCTTCTCTTTTGGTATCTGGCCATCCTAGAATCAAACCGTTCTTCCCCACCCCCCACCCCCGGGGGGCAAATGGGGTGGTATGCTAAACAAGTAAGTGTCACCTTGCAAGGTCTAAGAATGGGTGTTTATGGCCCCTGGTCCCATGGCAGTTGCCCACCACTGCTCCGCAGTTAAGCAGAAACATGAACTTATTTCTCTTAATCTAAAGAAGACATATACCAACTATTAGAGCACAGTGGCTCTTGTGTTTCGCTACAGGAAAACAGTGACAATGGTGTGCGCCTGCTGGGTAGTTCCTGGAATTTCTAGACCCTGGCTTTCCAGTTAATTTTTGCAAGAACATTCTTTGAAAGTACATTGATTATCTTCCCATTGGATAATTGCCTGTAATGAGAACATTCGGTTTGTGCAGTCCAAGTTTGTAGGGGGAACATGGCTTATGGGGTTGTTTGGCATCAAAGAGCTGGCAGCAGCCCTTCCTTGAGTGTAACTGTCAGCATATTCCCAGCTGTTTAAAGAGCACCCAGTGGGAGCAATGAGATGGCATTCCTCAGTTGTGTGCCAAACGTCCTCCGGAGTGACAAACTGCTCAATTTGTACATAGCTTTCTGCATTCTCCTCTGAATGCTGACTCTGAAGAAAAGCGGTGCCCTGGTCCATAGAACAGTTCTTGTCCTCTTAGACCAGAATTGTACTGCAAGTCCCAGCTGAAGCAGAGCCACCAAATCAATTACAGAATGGTTAGTCAACACTTAAAGAAGGCACACTGATTCAGTGGGTCTACTCTGTTACTTGGTCTAACTACCAGTAGGCTTCAGGCCTAATACTTAGCTAGTGACCTATGCAAACAGCTGTTGTTCAGAACAAGGTGACTCTTAAGAGAAGTAAAGAGAAAGCAGCTTCCTAATAATACCCCTGTGGTGCTGTGAAGTCAGTAAGAAGATTCCTACCAGTGGGAGGCCAGGGGCGTCCTGTTGAAAATTAGCTTTAGATGAAAGGAACTATTCATTCATTCACAGTTGCAAGCAGCCCTTGGTGAATTAAAATGCACTTTAACTCCCATAACTGCAACATTATTTATTTTTGTGCTACATATTTCTGTGAGAATCCGAAAGTCAGGGTGAGCATTTAGTCGTTAGTGGGAGAACGATTAATTGCACCCATTCCTTCTGTATCCAGCCTTCCCCTCACTTTCAGTGACAGCTGTGACAGGGCAAGGAAAGTGGCATTAAGATCTCACATAGGCCTCCTGACCTGGGCGCCTTTGGCTTGTGTTCATGTTTCCTCAGTGAGACTACACTGATTTTTGCCATATGGGAATAGAAATGTAAGATGAAAAACAGCTGGGCCTTTAGTAAAAAAAAAACATACTCATGATTTGTAGGCTATTTCACCCTCTTCGTTTCTCCTCTACAAAGTCTAAGTACCATATTTTTAGGACTCACTTATCATTCTTACCCCAAGTGGAAATGATAGAGAACAAGGCCAATTTATACGGAGGGGTTCTGGCTGTTTT